CTCAGGTGGTTCATCCAATAGAGAGATGTTCTCAAGGGAGGGTCAGGTTGTACAGCTTTGGTTAGGAGACCAGGAAGTGGTACTGGAGAGAGACAGGAAGTTATTCTGAAGATAGCGCCACATGTCATTTAGTTTGCTGCATCACTCTACCATAGAAGCTTAGGTCAAGAAGACTGTAATTCAAATGGGTAACGCTGCAGTGGGCTATTCACAAAAGGGGCCTTTGGGACTATAATGTATGGTATGGTGCCAGCAGCAATCATCCTTTACTTCAGCAAATGCCATCAATTTCTTGATGAGGCATCCATAGTAGTCACTGGCAAAGGCGTGCTGGGCAACAATGCCTTGATTATAGTCACAGTCAACAGGTCATATATACCTTCAGGAATCAGAAGCTACTGCCCCATCTAACATCATTGGTGGCTGGAAAGTTTAAGAAAGGGCAGAGTAGAAGAAAATACTGGATCTTTCCTGGTTGCACATATTATGGTGCCCCTCTATGGTACTTCCTTAGGAAATCTCAACAGTATTTACTAAGAGAGTCAGATGGGCATTCTTGCTCAGTGGGATGTTGTTTGTGGCTTTTATTCTCTCTCTCTCTCTCTCTCTGTCCCTCTCTCTGTCCCTCTCTCTCTGCCTCTCTCTCTGTCTCACTCTGTGTCTCTTTCTCTTTGTATGTGTGTATATATCCCCTGTAGATGTACTTATCTTACACACAGAATTAAGGAATAATATCAAGTAGTCATTAAAGAAATATACAAATCTAGAACCTTTCAGGGTGCTGAAAAGGTGACTTACACCTCAGAACAAGAAGTAAAGATGTTTGTGTGTTTGTGGGTCCATGTGATCAGGGGACGAGAAACGAGAAAGACTTGGGTGTCATGAAATAAACAGCTTTTGTTAACAGTGTTGGTTGCCTGCTGTTCTTCCTGATTAGTAGGTGGTAGGAAAACCTTTAATCTGTTGTAGCTATTCAGACTTCTTCTGACAAAGTAGTCAGTGGCTTCAAAATTAGATGATGGCAGAGACAGTGTAGTAATTGTCTTTTACTCTATAATAGCTTATTCAACACCTCCACTGACCTTAAAGTGAAAGAAGTGGGTGGAACCAGTATTTGCCAGTTTGATGGGTGCTTAGGGCTGAGTTGACTGCGTACTGCTGATCTCAGGCAAAGCAGAAGCCTACTCAGACATTATGTGCAGAGGGGGCATTCACCACAGCTTTTATAGACTACCAACTTTTAGAGTTCTTCTAGACACAGACACGTTCTACTGTTCTGTCATTTGTACCTTCATGACTTTTAGGTAGGGGAAGACTAAACCACCCTGCTTACCTACTGGTTGCCCAGCAGGAGAAAGCGTTTTATCAGAGAATACCGCTCTTACTTCAAAGGGACCCAGTTCCATTGCCATCATAGTCTATTTCGTGAAATTGTGAATTTCATTTTGTTCTGACTAGTTTTGCTTTGTTTTTTTGTTTTGTTTTGTTTTGGTTTGTTTTTTTTGTCAATCTGACATAAGTTAGAGCTATCAGAGATGAGGAACCTCAATTAAGAAATTACCCCCAGCTGGGCAGTGCTGGCTCATGGCTTTGATCCTAGCACTAGGGAGGAGGCGGGAGGCGGGAGAGAGACAGGTGGATCTCTATTATGAGGCCAGCCTGGTCTACAAAGTGAGTTCCAGGATAGCCAAGGCTACATAGAGAAAGCTGTCTAGGAAAAAAAAAAAAGATAAAAGAATAAAACAAAACAAAAAAGGAAAGAAAGCGCCTCCACCAGATTGCTTTTGGAAAATCTGTAGGACATTTTCTTGATTAACGATTGATGCTGGAGGGTCCAGTCCACTGGGAGCAGCATTGCCCCTGGGCCTGTGGTCTTAGCTGATCTAAGAAAGCAGGCCCTGAGAAGCAAACCAGTAAGCAGCCCTCTTCCATGGCCTCTGCTTCAGTTCCTGCCTTGAGTTCCTGGCCAGCTGCCCCTCAGTGATGGAGCATGACTTGAGGGGTGTAAGATAACATAAACCCTCCCCTCCCAAGTTGTTCTTGCTTGCAGTGTTTTATTACTGCAATGGAAACCCTGAACAAAGTCTTAATTCATCTAATATCTTCAAATTTTCCCACATAATTCTCCCCTGGCAATCATATCCTAGTTCCTGTTCTGAAGGTTAAGCCTTAGTAATAGTGAGATCTGCTTCTTGTGGTTCACGCTGCATACTTTGAAATGTCTTCTAGTTGATATTTTACTTAAAGCAAAGGGGAAGACAGAATATCAGCACATCTGGAAACTCTCCGTGGAAGAAAGTCTCTCACTCCACGAAGTACAGAGTTTTTACATACCATTTAGAAATGCATATGACATGTATTAAAAGACCACACTTTAAAAATCTTCAGCCTGCTGGCATAGTGGAGCAAGCATGGAATCACAGCACATGGGAGGCTGAGGCAGAGGGATAAGATCAAGGCCAGCCATGGCTTCCTTGCAAGTTGTGGTTAGTGTAGTACATAACGAGATTCTGTCTAAAGAGAAAACAAGGCACCTTGAACTATTTCTTCTAAGCATATGGAAAATTGAGGATGTAGAATGAGTCACCAAAGACCCTGCTCACTTCTGGACAGTTCCCAGGACAGCATCAGTTTTATTTGGTCACGTGACCCCATTGATTAGTTTAAGACAGATTTTTTTGCATGTCTTCTCTCACATCCATTTGTAGTTTATCACTAACATATACAGAAGAACTTTCCACTAAAAGGAACATATTCCCTGGTGTGGTGCAACGTACCCATAATCCTAGGACTTAGGGAGTAGAAGAAACATGACGACTGTGAGTTCACAGCTAGCAAGACTGTGTCTCAAGAAAAAAACAAAATAAAAGATGGGCCAGAGGTGACTCATTACCACCAAATTTGATGACCTGAGGTCAACCCTCAGAACCCACATGATGGGAGGAGGGAACTGACTCCCTGCAAGTTATTGTTGGATCTACACACACATGCACACATGCACTGTGGCATGTATGTGCCCTGAAATGTACACACACATACAATGAGTGAATGAATGAATGTATGTATTAGTATCTATCATCCCGCCTTTAAGAAGCAGTAGTAGTGTTTCTTTGATATTATCAGATGACCAGTTGCTCTTCATCTTTCTGTCTGGTAATGTTTTTTAATAATTTAGATTGGACTAGATTTGTGAATTGGTGTCTTGTGGTTGGGTACCATGTTCTATACGTGTGCTTTGATCTAAGTTCCATGTTCAGCCCATTGGTTAATATTTCTTCTTTATGAAAAGAAGCGAGTTACTACTACTCTGCATAGCAGTGACTTTCAGACAGTTTGGTCTTAAATCTCCTTTATAATTGAAAAGTCAAGTAGGTATTTTTTTCTAATAGCCTGTGCATATTGATACTGTGCTAAAATAGATTGATTGCTCACTATATAATATATATAAGCACAATTTTTATGAAAGAACAATAAATACATAATAATAGTAGTAATAAATACGAGAGAAGTTGCCATAGTTTCAACTTCTGCAGATCTGTCTACTGTCTGGTTTTACAGGAGATAGCTGGATTCTTACAACTGCTTCTCCCTGTAGTCTATTCCAGTCTGTTTTTTTGGCTGAAGTGTGTGAAGAAAGTCTGGATTAATGTAAATACAGGGTTGGAAAAGAGAGGAATATTTTGCTAGCTTTTCAGTTATAGTGGAAATCTTTGATATCGCAGCAAGGGTAGTTTATGTTAAAGGTGGGTTGGTGTACAGTGTACAGTTGAAACCCGATCACTGAGATTTCACCCTGTATTAAAATTTATTGATCTGAGAGTTGGAACGGATCCATGCTCTGGGCTCAGTGTTGTAACATTATACCTTAGCCATTTGGAGACCATGTCTCCAAAGAACTATGTAAATCTTCCAAATCTCATCACATCTCATTAAGTATTTTAGGCTTCATTCTCATTTCTGTCACTACCTTTCCATGTCTTTGGCAACGTCTTGGCTCTTGGGAAGCTGTCGGGGGTCACAGCAGGTGCTTCAACTGAGTCAAACAAACTTGATTTCCTCCTGATAAAAAATCACATTCACGTCTGTTGTGTTAGTAGGTCAGACATGTGATTGATAGGTTAATATAGATGACAGCGAATAGTAGACTCAATTCCCCTTTTATTTTCCCACTATCAATGGTATCTTTTAAGTCTACATTTTATTTAGTAGTTCCCTTATCTTTGGTTCCACTTTCTGAGATTATAGTTCCCAGAGGGCTCAGTTACTTGAAGTCAACATCTCCTCAAAAATATTAGATGGAATTGTCAAGAAACAAACAATCCATCAGTTTTAAGTGTTGTTCTATGCAGTGTGATATCTTAGGCTATCCTGCTTTACTCTGCTTAGGGATGAAGTCACCTTTTGGTCCAGTGAATCCGTACTGTATATACACTACCCCCCTCCCCCACTGACTGTCCAGATTCACAGTGCGTGTCTTCAAGTACACCTCATTTTGTTTAACACTGATGCCCAACTGCAGGAGCACTGATGCTGATGACTTGAATATGCCAAAGAGAATCCCTTCGTTTGTTTAAATAAAAAGGTGAAAATACTCACCTTATTAAGGAAAGAAAATCATGCCAAGTCACTGACAGTTGTTCTTAACATTTTGCAGTGGCCAATTTAGAAGTTAAACTTCCCTGTAGGAATGTCTGCTTAGGGGGGAAGTGTATGGAGCTGATGGTATAGCTCAGTAGTAGAGCGAGTGTCTCTCCAGCTCTGGTCACAGTTTCTGGCACACAGAGTCAAACAGACACATAGTAGACTAGAGCTTGGAGTGCCCCACACATGCCAGGCAAGTGCTCTACCAGTGCTCAGCCCTATTAGGGATACTTTTGAAGCAGTTGTTTTTAGATGGATAAATCAACAAAATAATGTAATTAAACGAAACAAGTAGTAATGATCACTAAATCAAATTGATGTGCATGTGAAGTATTTACGTTCCCTTATTCCTCTTCAAGGTTAAAAAAATAAATCATGACTGAATCTGCATCTAGCACAAGTGGTCAAGAGTTTGATGTGTTCAGTGTTATGGACTGGAAGGATGGAGTTGGTACCTTACCAGGAAGTGACTTAAAGGTGGGTTTTCTTTATCATGTATGAATTATATGTTGTGTGTATCTGTGTGTGAGCTTACTTTACAGTGAATACATACATAAAATAAGAACTCGAACCATTAAATATAATGTTATGGCTTTATACAGTATGTGGTCCTCTGCAGTAAATTTGTAAGATAACTTGAAATATTGATAGATTGTCAGTTGGGTTAGGGGACTGAGGAATATTTTTAGAATGTTCTTAGTTTAAGAAAATCAATCAATAGCTCTGAGGAGGATCATCTATCTATCTGTTTTGATTCTATTATGATGATGGTCAATATATATGGAAATGGCAGACCTACAAGGTCTAGCATTTTGAATATTTTAGTAACAGCTTTGGAGCTTTGAGTGGGTCCTAGGGGTCTTATATTAAACGGGGTAAACTAATATGAAAATTTTGAATCAGTAGGACTATTCACTGCCTTTAAATTATTTATACTATGAATATAAGTTTTTGTATAATGGCTTTTTTAGGAGCAAGTTCTTTTTATAAGTCAGTCTGTGATCTTATATAAAGGGCTCTTCGTGGGGTTCAGTCTCCCCAAGATATATGTGCTGGTCCACCGTGTATCCACTCTTCATGGGGTTCAATCTGCGCACGATGTGTGTGCTGTTCCTCACTGTCCCCATTCTTCATGGGGTTCCATCTGCCCACTGTATATGTGCTGCCCACCCCACATCCCCTGCCCCACTGAATCTACAGCAGCACCACCTCTACTGCTCTATGAAGCCTAGTTCTGCAAGCTCAAACTGCCCCCACTTCTCATTTCTAATTTGGTTTAGCTGTGTTCCTATCTCTGGGACCTTGAACCTGTCTGTGGCCTTTTAGACTTTGTGTTTGTACTCAGTCATTTAGGTGTTTAAACTTTCTGCCTCTCTAACAGGCTGTCACTTAGTCTGTCTCTGTAATACTTGATGTTCAGTGCTGTCTCAAATAGGAAAATTTTACTCCTGACTTAGGCTTCTTGAAATCTAATCCTTTTGATGGCTGCTTGACAAATATCTTAGCCAAGTCCCTGCGCTCATTTATCCTCAGGGGTACAATTTAAACATCTGCCTGCCGTTGGAAAAATGTTTGAGATTTTGGTTGGCTTAGGTTTAATTAAGTACAAAGTGCCAGTGAGTTTAAACAAAACTATTGCAGCGAGGTTTAGTGAAATCTGGAGGAAGTTCTTTTTCCTTATTGTTATTGTTTTTTTAAGTGGTTACCAAAACATAGCCAGGAGGTTTTTAATTCTAGTATTCTTTTGTACCATAGGAAACTATAGTCTAAAATAATGCATGGTATACTTTAACTAAAAACAATCACAGATGTGCTTAATGCGTATAAGTAGAAATGTCTTAGGAAGTAGGAGAGCTAATTTCCTCATCTGAACATTACATATTATAGGTGTATATGGAAATAGCCTATGGTATTCATAAATATGCACACATACGATGAATCCACTTAAAATTATTAAAAAAGGAGAAATTTTCAGTTTTAGTTTTATGTGATGATGAGTCATGGAATAAGTTAATTCTTCTGGGTCAAAATTGCTCTGCAGTAAAATAAATAAATACAAGAGCAAATAGGAATTGAACGTCTCTGACATTCTGCAAGAGTCTAACTGCAGGAGACGTGATGGATAGAGAAGGCTGAAAAAATACTATTCCTCAAGCTCTGATAATGTGAATCATATATCAGCCATGTGAACTTTGCCAGATTATTTAAAATCCGAGAGGGGAGAGGTATTTCAACACCTAAGAGCATGCACTACTTTGGTAAGGTACTCTAGTTCGGTTAGGCTTCACAGCGCCTGTAAGGCCAGTTCCAGGGGATTTCCAGTTCCAACAGTCTTTTGGGTTCCAAGGGTATTTGCACTTGCAGCCTCCTGATTCCAGCCACATACATATAACTAATAATAAAATAAACCTTGTGACTGATTACTTAAAATCTTTACATTTTGTAAGCGTTATCTGGAAAAACATTGGGTGTTGTTAGGACCCATAAGGTCCACAACTTTAGAAAGGATTTAGAAAGGATTGTAAATAATTACTAGTGTATGCATTTTCTGACTTGGCAATAAATTATGAAAACTGTCTTTTTCTGTTATTTCATCTGCATACTGTTCTTGTGCATTTTCACTGTATAATGGTGAAATTTATAACTTTCTTTTAGTTAGCTTTTGATAGTAAACAGGAGTTTCCATCCCTAAGAAATCTGGATTGCTTTAAAGTTTTCCAAGCAGTGGGTTTTAGAAATTGACCTATTATTTTTATTAAGATAATCAGGTAATTAAGTCATTTAGGGTATTATAGTCAGGGTTATTTGATATGACTTTTACACTGATGTAATTACTGGGGTAATTGCTATGTGTCCAATCTACTTCATGAACAGTAGACTGTTTGATACCTCATTTTCACAAATAATTTGAAGAGTTCGGGAGATTACTTAGTGGAAGAGCACAGAGTTTAGAGAAAGGCCTTTTCTCAAGGAGATAAGGGGTAGAGTGACAAAGCAGGACATAGACGTTCTCCTAGCCTCTGTATTGTATGTATGGTGTGTGCACCAGATGTGTGTGCGTACAACACTCACATACACCTCTCTCTATCTCTCTGTGTCTTTATCCCACACACAATGTTTCATTTATAACCCCTTTAATTGAAGAGTCATATCCCATCTATTGGGTAACGGTTTCCTCTGAGATTTAGACATTTAATCATCCTACAGAAAAATTCCTTAAGCAGGAAATTGAACAACTCTAATAGCTTCAGGAAGTCCCCGAAACTGAACAGATTCACTAGGCCTCTCCCTGCCAGAATAAACAACAGAATAAAGCAGAGATTCTCTCTCCAGAGAGAAGTGCCAGGCTGCAAAGAAAATTCTCAGACAGGCTGGCCTGCAAAAAATCAGAGCAGAACAGCTGACTGGAAGAATCAGAAGCCAGCAGACCAACCTGGAAGAGGTTTAGCTCAACAAAGGTACCTGGAAAGGACACTCTCCATCCTGATGAGTTGTCTGCAGGCTGGATAGTGTGCCCCAGGTTCCTAGATCTGTGTGCACACCACCCATGCTTGGGTAGGCTCTGGTGATGCAGCTGTCTGAGTCATCTTTGGTTCCGAAAGTAACCCCAATTTTAAAAAAAAAAAATTGTTCACAAAGTTGAACTTTGATAGTATCTGTACTTTGGTTTGTTGTGGGCTCCCTATCTGGGATGAGTAGATGTGTGCATTGAGACTCCCTAGGAAAAGTTTTGTCATACGACGCCGTCTCATTGACTATACTTTGTAGTGTTTCTTATATCCCAATCTCAGTTGTTTAAGAGGTTGATAAAATAATTTTCTCCTAAACTAAAATGTTAACACTTTGAATAATTCATAAAATTGGCTTCCTCACATCATGCTGAGAATTTGGCCTTACCCAGGCGGCTGCTTTTAAATGGTTTGTGTGTCTACAGGCATGTAGATTTTCGAACAGTTGGTACCTAAGCCATCCAACTGAAGTTTGTCCAGCTGGTACAGCCTGGCCTCATAGGCAGAGGTCAGCCTCCCATTGTGCGAACAGGCTTTATGTTCCGTGGATTTTGCCATCCTGAAAGAACTTTCCTTTGTGACAGCCTCATGGTTGCTGGCTAATTTCATTGTCATTTTTCTGGTTAAACTTTTCGAGCAGCTGCCATTGGCCGAGGTTGAGCTCCTGAAGGTTTTTGGATGTCTGGCCCCCACTTTTCTCTGGTCCCACATCTCCTTTTACCTCAGTGCCTCTTTGCCCCCTCCCCCCCATCTTTGGCACATTTTCCTGACTTGTCACTAGTATGTTCAGCCCTCCCACATTGGGCCAATTAACTGTAATTATTTGAAATAAAGCACAAACATCTTTTTGGGTGTAGAAGTGAGAGAAATAGGAAATTAACCCCCTGAGGGGGCACCTTACCTCCACTGTATTTCATCCTTTCACAGCCTCTGCCGTCTGTCTTGTCAGTTGACGCATGGGGAAACTGAGGCCCATTTGCCCAAGTCAGTTATTGCAGCTCTGGGGTGGAGGAGACGGCGGTGGTGTTGAAACTGACTCTGTTAACACTAGTACAATGTTGTCTAAAGACAGCATCCTCGAATCAACAGACACAAGGAAAAGTGTGCACAGTTAGAGACAGCAGCTTCCTTCAGCAGCGGGGACCAGGAAGTCCTTTGAAAATCTGGTGTTCTTTGAGTTGAAAATGCTCATTGTGAGGACTTCTTGGAAGGTGCGGCGGAAGAGAGAGAGCAGAGCAAGCTTTCCAGAGGCAGAGCCCCTTCCAGGCAAAGTGTTCAAACGACACCAGTCTCAAAAAGATTGTGGTCATTATCACAGCGTTTCTGCCTAGACAAGCTTCAGAAATTTTACCGTTACCTAATCTGTTCCTTGAAAATACAAAAGAACTTGCTTAGAGCGGCGTCCCCAGGTTGACTGTCGGAGAGGCAACTGACTAAGTGGCTGTAGAAAGGTACCTGGCAGGACTTCCCCAGGCCCGAGTACCTGAGTTTCTCTACCTGAATTTCTAATGGCGTCTTAAACATTTCTTCAGAAAGAATTAATCCTCTGAGTCAGAAGGAGTTAGTCTCCCAGAGGCCCTCAGTAAAACGCAGGTGCTCCCCTGAGAGCGATAGCATCTTATCTGGCAAGAATAATTGCTCCTCATCAGAGAGCAAGACCTGCTACGGCAATGCAGAAGCCAGCTGTCAATCCAGCCCTTATTCATTATGCATGGCTTCGCCTTGTCTCACTAAATGTTTGAAATAGTTTAGTGACCGAAGATCTTTGCCCTTAAAGCGCATTGGTAACTGGGATTCAGGTTTCAACATCAAAAGTAGTAAAGGGGAAATCATAACCTCAAGAGTGTCTTTTAGTGATCTGTTATTAGAGACCCCAGAAGAAGAAAAAAGGCTTTTGACCCTGGAAACAAAAATAAAGAGTAGACAATTAATGTGGCTCAGGCTAAGCCAAATAAACAAAACCTTGCCACCCTGCAGATGTCTGAGGCATCGTTCTTCCTTTTTTTTTTTTTTTTTTTGACTGACCTGGATAGATTCATATGTAGTAAAAGCTGCCGTGCCAACTGTATGTCTGTCTTGCTTAATGCTTAATGAATTACCTTTGTAAAGTTTATGATTTGATATTTTCTGTTGGAGAATAGAACACTTGAGGAGTTTTGTGTCCTGCCAGAGTCAGTCATAAAATCATTGAGGACCCAGGTGCTCAGTTGGGGAAACAAAAGGCAATGCATCCATCTTTCTGGAGTCCTGTCTTTGGACGTCCAGTTCCGCCAGCACACTCGTTCTTCCTAAGATTTCTCTCCCCTCATCATGCCATGGAAGACGCACAATCCAAGTGGAGAAGCCACAGGGACATTTAATTCCTCTGCCTTTTTTACGCCTGTGTAGTGCATTAGTCCTTGAAGTCCATCCTTGGTCTGTGACTTCAAGACCAGAACTTCGGGTTGTTCACGGTGTCACCAGGTGACACGGTATGTCTGTTTGTATTTAGACTATGTATTTAGACTATTAATTTAGACACTGCCATTAATTATGGCAGTTAATGTTAGCAGATAGAGAAGATGGCGAAGATTAAATGTTGCATTTGTCGAGATATGACCTTTTAACTTTAAAGGGATTTGAGTCAGACCCTTACAAGTGTCAGGCCTGCACTTTTCACCCAGAGGTCTGTTCCGCTGTCCTTTCTCAGGTGATTACAACACAGGGTGGTTTCCAGGGTGCCAGCCATTATAATCCTTTCTGCGTGCTCTCAATGTCTGTGCTATTTCTCACATGTCACGTTTGTCAAGTGAGCATACATCAGCATAGATAGCAAATCATGGGAGCAGAATTACTCATCGTAAGTGAATCATCATTTACGCCTGTTAAAAATTGGAACTCAGAATTGATTTTTGTATCGCATTCTTTAATATCATTAAATAACGGTCTCAGCAGCGTGTTCTGTCTGCTCTTGCCCAGTAGATGGTACTGTCAGCCTTATTTTGAACAGTTGCTAGTTAAGTTTTTTTTTTGAACCTTAACGTTTCTTTCTTTTTTTTTAAGTTGTTCTTTTTAGTTCTTGTCCATAAAATTAACTTTTATCATTTTCTAAGCTGATGTGGACACTAGGTATGCCACACATGTTGCTTGTGAATTTGTACTTAGGATATATAATACAAACGTCACATTCCTGAACTTTTTTCGCTCATTCAGTCTAGAAAGTACTTAATAATTTTATACCATGAGTGTGGGAAATACATATAGCAGAGTGAAAGATCTGAAACATTTTATTGTTCTTTCAAATCTGAGCTTTCCACTCTTCTTCCTACTGCTGGCACCTGCGTATCCTGACTGTCATTCTGTCCTATGAAAACTAGGGGTGAGAAAAACATTTAGGTCCATGAGTTCTGGAGTCTGAGAAAGCTCAGGATCTCTGCCATGGTATCGTAGCAGCAATGAAGCCTTCCACTTAAAACATAAGCGGCTTACTGCAGAAACCTGCTTTTTCAGTTGCTGGGGAGAGACTCCATGACCTTCCTCCTCAGTGATGCGACGCCACGTCGCAGGCTGGTTTAGCTCTTAAAGTTCTTTCTCTGCTGTTTTCCACTTCTTTGGGACTGAACTTCATGGAGAATTTTTGAGGGTGGTGAGGGAAGTGTGGCGCTGGGGAGGGACTGTCTCATGGTTTGTGCCTTTTCTTCCTGGCATAGAAGGAGGAAGGTGACAGGCCATTATAGCCTCCTCTTTGAATCAGGACACCTTTAGCGAGCCGAATCGATTTCTGGGGATGGGGTGGGGAGCGGGGAAGAGACTTTTCCTTTAGTGGCCTTGCTAAGTAAACAGTAGTATTAAATAAATAAAAATCTTAGGAAAAATGTGTCTGAGATGACAAATAGAAGTGCGCAGCTGTAGTGACGCCCACTCCTTTGTGCACAGCCGTAGTGACACCGTGTAGTGACACTCACTCCTTTGTGCACAGCCGTAGTGACACCCTATAGTGACATCCTTTCCTATGTGCACAGCCGTAGTGACACCCTGTAGTGACACCAACTCCTTTGTGCACAGTTGTAGTGACACCCTATAGTGACACCCACTCCTTTGTGCACAGCCATAGTGATGCCCACTCTTTTGTGCACAGCTGTAGTGACACCTACTCCCTTGTGCACAGCTGTAGTGACACCCTGTAGTGACACCTACTCCCTTGTGCACAGCTGTAGTGACACCCTGTAGTGACACCTACTCCCTTGTGCACAGTTGTAGTGACACCCTGTAGTGACATCCTCTCCTTTGGTCTAGTCTTCCTCAATCCAAAATTCATAAAACAGAAGTGCTTATTGTTACTGCCTAGCCTACCCAAGAGAGACTGTTTAACTCTCCACGTGTGGTTAATTTGCTTAAAGACTGTGTGTCAGTCATGAACTAAATCATGCCCCGCGGAATTTTGTAAATGTTGCCTTCTTTCTTCCTTGTTGATTGCCAGTTTAGGGTGAATGAATTCGGAGCTTTGGAGGTTATCACCGATGAGAGTGAGATGGACAGTGTCAAGAAAGCCACTGCCACCACCACTTGGATGGTCCCGACCGCTCAAGAGGGTAAGGCTGGCCCACCCGCTGCTGACGTCTTCTCGCCGAGCGATTTAAAGTCGGTCTGCCCAAGCTTTCTTACAAGAGGGCCAAACTTTGAAAGCCCCAGATTACCTTTGTGTCTTGGGTCCCTACGTAAATTTTTGTAATGGAGTAGACAGGAAACAACTTCTACATTTTAAAATAATTATAAGCTGTCTTATTTCTAACGCCAGATCTGTAATAACCTGAGATTCGTTGTGAATTATCAAAGTAAACCCAAGTTGCTAATGGCCTAGGTGATTTATCCAAAAGGCCTGGCACTTTTGGGTTTTTGTTTTTGTTTTTGTTTTCTCATATACTCCAATGATTGTAACTAACACCTATATGCTGACGACTCCAAAATCTATATCTCCAGCCCCGACCTCTCCCCCGAGCTCCAGGCCCGTATTTCCACCTGCCCACTGGACATCTCCACCTGGATGTCCCACAGGTACCTCAAACTCCACATATCTGAAACGCAATTCATTTTCTTTTTCTTTCTCCCTTCCCCTAAAACCTACTCTTTCCTCCGTAACCCATGTCAGCCGGTGGTAGTGCCATCTACCTGGTGCATAATCAAGATGTCTAGGAGTCATCCTGCATTTGTTCCTCCACTTCCTGTTCCTTAATGCTCTCGGTTTTTAGTCCCTAAATAAGTCTCAGGTCTGGCCTTTCCTATTTTCACTGCCACTGCCGTAATGTAGGCCTCTAACTCTCCCTGAAGCTATTGCAGAAGTCTCTTAAATAATCACCGCTTCAAACTCACCCCTCTCCAATTTATCCTGCACTCTGAAGTCAGTGGAACTTGTGTAGACTGCTCACCTGCTACTTGGCTAATGTCTCTCTGCCACCCCAGCGAAGCCTTCAAGGATCTGGTGGCCTGCATCCACCTGATTGCTCTATCTACCCATTCTGTTCCTTTCTCTGTGTGTTGTACTCTGGCCCTTTGAGCAGCTTGGACCTATGTGTCATTTTCCCAAACTGTCCTATGATTTCTGCTTCCCTGCCTTTGTTCATTTTGTTTTGGTTTGGTTTGGTTTGGTTTTTTTTTTTTTTCCTGACTCAAATGCTGTTTCTTTCTTTGCTTTGGCCTTTAAAACCCTGTTGAAGTGCTGTGTCAGAACCTCCCTCCTGCCTGACCTTACCCCTGGCTGAAAAAAAATCACTTCTTCCTCTGCCACCCTAAAACTTGCTTGTACTTCTATGAACTTCTATGGCTGCATGCATCCCACATGATTAGAAGGCCTGGGCTTCTTGTATGGCTTCTCCTCTAGACTGTGAGCTGTCTTGGGCGAGTGTACTGACATAATCAGTGTCCAGCATAAATTGGTGCCTAATAAATGTTTGCTGAATGACTCAGGCAGAAGGAAATGGTAGTTCCTAAATGACTCGGATAATTATGACCCACGAGATCAGTTACATTAAAATTACATGTGTTAATTTAGTCAGTTAAATAAAAAGTCACTCATCAAAATGTTATAAACATGAAGTAACTTAGATGACCCTTTTAGCTGTACCAAGATTCACCTATAGGTTAGAGCTTTTAGACCAATAATATTTTCTGGAATTCAGTAACTAATGAAATTCTTTTCTTTCTATTTTGAACTCTGTAGGAAATGCTGAGGTCTTGTGTGAATTTTTTTTTATGTTTATCCTTTTTGGATATTTGTTGTTGAGATAGGTCTCACTAGGTCAAGAAAGCCTCAAACTCAAAGAAATCTGACTGCCTCTGCCTCTCAAAGGGTGAGATTAAAGATTAAAGACAACACACCTGACCCTCTGTCTAGATTTAAAAAAAAAAAAAGAACCAGAAGTGATTTGAGTGATTTTTCTGCCAAACTTAGCCCCCATTCCCAACTTTATAGTTCAATAACTGACTCATTCAACAAACATCATTCTTTATTCTGTCGCTAACAAAATTAGTAGAAGAGAAAGTTTACACATACTTTGAAGCGCCTGCTGACGTGGTTTTCTTTTCCTCTCCTTTCTCACCTTCTAGTCTTTTCAGAGAAGACTGGGGTACCATTCAGGTTGAAGGATCAATCAAAAGTAGATGGGCTTCAGTTCTGTGAGAACTGTTGTCAGTACGGCAACGGCGAAGAGTGTCTCTCTGGAGGAGGAAACTATTGCAGCCAGAACTGTGCTCGGCACGTCAAAGACAAGTAGGTTTCCTTCCCTTTCGTCTCTGAAATCGTCAGAGACTTCCAGAGCATCGTATCTGCGGAAACGAGGATTAAGGGGGCCATAGAACATCTGTGCCCCTCTCGGACCTGTTTGCTAGGCTTTCTCTCTGGTAACAGAGGACCCTTGACCCCTCCATTGGATTGACTTTCTCTAGAAAGTCTGTTCTAGTAATGCTGTTCTGTCTCTGTAATCAACCACTGTTACCATTGATTTGATTGTTTCCAGTGAAGAGTGCTTAGGTGTTCCAGACCTATGTGCACATTTGGATGGTACTGATTTTTATGGCAACACACTTGTTCACTTCCACATAGGGAACCAAAGTCCCTCGTAGAAATGTCCATAGTAGATAATGTTATAAGTCCTTGTAGGATGACCTCAGTGGACATACAGGAAGTGATGTAAAACCTCCCCATCTGGGGACTGTCTAATAAACTGCAGCTTAGGAGCAAAAGGTGTGTTTCTTGAGTATAACGTAGGACAAAATAAATGACATTTATTTTTTTAATTTAATCTTTAAAAATCTCTTATGTGGGTGTTTTGTCTACATGTATATCTATGCACCATATGTGTGCCTCAGAGATCAAAAGAGGACATCAGTTTCCCCTAGAACTGTAGTTACAGGCAGTTGTGAGCCACCATGTGGGTGCTGGGAATTGAAGCTGTGTCCTCCTGAAGAGCAATTAGTGCCCTTAGCCACTGAAGCATGTCTCCAGCCCCTTGACTTTTGTGTTTCAATGGAGATTCCCTCATATCATATTTAATATAGAAACTCCTGATTGTTTTGTATTGGCAAAGGGATTCTTTGCAGATTTATAATTGGCCTTTTCTACTGGATTTGACAATCTTAAAATTGCTAGTTCCTTTGTTTCAAATTGCCTCGGAAACATATATCTCAACGCAATTGATTATTTTGTTATTATGCAGACAAGTAATTATAAACCCATTAGAATCCATTTTACGAGCATTGATATTTCCCTTTTGAAGTTAATATATAAAATAATTTCCAGTTTTTACCCAGGAAGATCTATAAAGCATGATTTTAAATGTTCCCTAAACTGTATGCTAATCCCTGTGGATTTCTCGTAGTAATTAGATATTTCCTTTGAAGAGGAATTTTTTTTTAAAAAATAATTCTGCATCAATAGTCAACATGTAGGTATTTGATAGGTATTGTTTCCTGTCACTGTTTTGGGTTTATAAACACAGCAGAGATCAGAAGGAAGAAAGAGATGGAGGTGAAGACAACGAAGACGAGGATCCCAAGTGTAGTCGGAAGAAAAAACCAAAATTATCTCTGAAAGCTGACTCCAAGGAGGATGGAGAAGAGAGAGATGATGAAATGGTCAGTAGCCCTTACCTGCCCATTCAGAGATGCGGGCAGTCATCTTGGGGGTGTGTCCAGTTACCAGATCTGTTCTGGAATCAAGTGCTTGCGTTAGTTAATGCTAGTTTCAGGGACCACTTACGTCAGGAGATTCCATGCCACTTCGTACCTCACTGTCATCATGTAAACCTGGGACTGATAAGTAACAGTGACAGAAGTCGGATGTCCTGGAGTTTATGACTGGGATGAGAGGCAGCAATCAAACCTTTAGTTTTGTGGCTGGATTTCAAATTCTCTCACCAGCAAAATGCCGGTACAACTTTGGTAAATGGCGGATAGATCTTATAAACTATGAGTGGATAGAGAGTGACATGTAGCTATCAAGTGTGCCTAGAGGGGAAAAAAATCATTCAAAATATGTTAATTGAAATGTAACTACTTTCACCCTAAAGTGGGTATTCGTAGTTTTACAGGAGCAGAGACCTTTGAGGTCTTGAAACATTTTATCCAGGATGAGTTAATGAGCAGTTGTTATCTGCTAGACACTATTCAATGGACTGGGAATATGGAAATGAGTAAGAAATGCAGTAGGATTAATGTCCTTCATGAAGACATTGTGTTCTGGCTAAGGAGGCTTGATAATCAGGGAAAAGAACCAGAGATACCAGTTTATCCCAAGTACTATGCTGGCATTTAAAGTAGAAAATTAAATTAGGATTGACTGACTAATGAAAACTGGAGTTTGGTAGGGAGAGAGCCTCAAAAGACAGGAACACTGAATTGTGAACAGTAAGGAGAAATCAGCTGTGTGCAGTTAGCTCTTCACGTACTACAACTTCTGAGGGAGAAGACCTGAAGTGAGCATAGTTGTAGCACATTCTGTTGGAGGGCACCCACAGAAGTCCCTAAGGCGCATGGAAGATTAGGGAAGAGCAGGGTGAGGAAGCTGAGGGTAGTATGACTTGGGTCAGGTGAACATGATGGCTTCCTGAGGAAAGTGGGAAGACACTGGGAAGTTAGAGGCAAGGGGATGCTGTGGTTTGATTTGTTCTTTGCTTGACCAGTTTTCTGTGACCTATGTAAGCAGGAGTAGAGTCAGGGAAACTAGTTAGATATTCTAGGTCAGAGGGCCATGTAAGATATAAGCTAGGTGATTTTGTTAGCATTAGGGTTGTGAGGATATAGAAGAAATGGGAAGAGTCGGGGATTCTATGAATCGTAGCTTCCTGGATTGGATAAACGCCTGGAACGTGAAGGCAAGAGTGGAGGAAAGACTCAGGAGGTCTTTGAGTGTGCAGAGTTTCTTGTGCCTGTTACCTACGCATCTCGAAGTCGTTAGGTAGCCAAGCACAGGCACATGGAGTCCTGGAAAGGAAGCTAGAGATGGAGGGTGAAATACTTAGCGTACAAATGACATTCAGGGATGGGGAAGTGGTTGTCAGTAACGTGCTTGCCCTCTGAATATGAGGACCCGAGTTTGGATCTCCAGAACCATAGAAAAAGCTAGGTGCCATAACACTTGCCTCTAATTCCAGTACAAGAGAATCCCTAGAGCTCATGGCTTGAAGCCTAGCTTACCTGATGACATTCAGTCACTAGGAGAGCCTGTATCATAGGGAGGTGGAAAGAGCTTAAAGAATATCACCCAAGCTTGTCTCCTGATCTCAATACTCCTTGACGTCAGTCACAACCCCCCTCACACACAAAGAAATGACCTTGAAACCCCTGGGTTAGAGAGGTGTAGAGGTTGAATGGGTGTAGACAGCAGTAGAGAGCCTGCAAAAAGGACTAGTGAGATCTGAGGAACAGCAAGACACCGAGGAGGAGGGAGCGGGACTTGAACTCTTCCCGACAGCAATTGATAGTGTTCAGTTCAAAAGCAACATGGTCTCAAGTGGACCATATTGCTGCTTTGGAAGTCAAGAAGCAAAGGTCAACAGCAGAAAGCTTCCAGACGGCCCTCTAAGTTTTCCTTGAGACCAATTTCATGAACTCATGAAGCCAAAGGTTTTCTTTCTTTCTGTAGGAGAACAAGCAAGATGGAAGGATCCTGAGGGGTTCCCAGAGAGCCAGGAGGAAAAGACGTGGAGACTCAACCGTCTTAAAGCAGGGTAAGCTGGTGATGTAAAACCTGCCAACCTGGTGGCCCCAAGACGAAATTCAGAGAAGCAGTATCGGACTTTCTGATTCTCGACACCCCTATAGAGTACTTCTTAGAGTCTTTCTGATGAAGTTTCCTCCATAAACATGGAGGCTTGAGGGAGCAGCTTAGATAGGAAAGGCAGCTAGTTTTCAGGTTGTTACCGCGTGTGTAGGGAATACCTTCTTTCGTTTGCTGGTTTATCCGTCAAGATGCCAGTTCCTGCTTCTACCCCTTTGCCCAAACCCCTGTTCTTGCTCATTTCCCGAGATGTTAGGTTTATTGTGCCCTCTCAAAACACGGCCTTGTCATGTGATCTCCTTTTTTTCTTTTCCTTGAGGCTACATCTTACTCTCTTGGGAAATCCAGTTTGAGCCTTTCTCTTTGCTGTTAAATTGGATAAACTCTTCTTCTTTGGTCATTTCTATATAAGCTCCTCTCAGCCTTACTCCACACAACCCAATGCAAATGCCCTGCCAGGCCTTTGATGGAGGTTAGGTGAGGTCACTGTGACCTGTACTGCCCAGCTACCAACCTGCGTGCTCACACTCTTCCCTGAAAGAGAGGGCTGTGGGCCCAGAAGCCCAGCATTCTTGCTCTGTGCTTGGAGACACTCCCTGTTGGTTCTTCCACTGATCCCCCAGAAGGAACTGTAAGTTCCTTCCACCTGTCTTTAGCTCATAGCAGACCCGCCATATTCTTTCAGGTGGATGTTTTTTTGTTTCCATGATTAAGGGAAGTAAATTAAATCCCTTCGTTACTCTGCATGAAATGAAATTTCCTCACTCTGAAGTCTTTCTCTCCTTTCCTCCTAATATCTTCTCTGGATGAAATTCCAAACCCTTGGCTCTAGTAGATCTTGTCCTTCCTATCACTCTTTCCCCTTAACTGTTCCAATTTCCTTCCTTTGTGAGCTGCCCAATGCTTTGTGCATCCCTGTGGACCCACAAGGGCTTCCAGTGTTGTTCCTAGTCAACCTGTCTCATCCCTCCTCTTGTTTCAGCACTTTGTCACGTTTAATCCAAAAGCATCTTATTTTATCACATATGCATTTTTTTGTACGTAATAAATATGATATTCACCACATCAGTGTTTTTCTTCATTTTCAAGAATAGCAGATATTCCCTAAACACTCAGTGCACTAGCCTTTTCTCGGTCCTCAATTTCTAGGTGCCATGGGAACAAACAAACAGCATATTTACACATCTTGCTCCTGGAAGATGTGACTTCCTGTAGCTTCTCTGGGCTTCCTGCTGGACTTTTCATGTGTTCCGAGTTCTTCCATTTTCTTCTGCCTTCATCAACTGGATATTTATACCACAGTTCGTTTCTCAGTTCTTGTTTTTATGGTAGAGGAACCAGAAAAAAAGAGAACTGTCAGCCACGGAGCGGGAAGAGCCAGAAAGCATAGTATTTGCGCAAGAGATGTCCTGGAACATTTTATTGATTTCTTAGCTTCGGAAAGTCCATCATTTGGTTTCCTGTCTTTCAGGTTTGCCTCCTAAAGGCAAGAAAACTTGGTGCTGGGCATCCTACCTGGAGGAGGAGAAAGCTGTGGCAGTGCCGGCAAAGCTGTTCAAAGAGGTGCGAGTTCTCCAGGCACTGTGGGGAAAGACAAAGGAGCAGGGAGCTCATCGGAACTCATATCGTCATTTCCATTGTCTGCTTAGGAAGTGTGACGGGGGATAGTTTCTCAGGGAGAGTGTTACATGGACGATCCCTCAAAAGGCAGCGATGATTAGGGTGTGCACACAGTGGAGTACAACACGTCCACACTCACAGATGCTCACAATGTCAGCACTGTCACCCATTTTGCACTATGGGAATACTAATACTGAAGCACTCATGGACCCATTTTGTGTCTAATTATGAGGGGCCGGACGTGAGTTACTGAGATTTACGTCCTGTTAGGAAACCTTTGAAATGGTTTAGCGGATTTACTACTGATAAGAATATTCCATCGTAAGTAATTTAAAGTCACTTGAAAGTGTAAACAGTAGATATAGTTCTACCTAGGTTCTCTTGCCACTTGACTCAGGCAGGACTTGGTAAAGTTTCTCTAGAAAGGGTCATGTGCTTTTAAGGCATCTGGAGTCTGTTGCCATAATAGAGCTTGTTACATAATATGCATGAAGGCGGCCATAGATAGCATGTAAATTAGCAGGAATGGCAGTGTTCCAGTAAAATCTTATTTACAAAGCTGTGGTGGACAAGATTTGGCACACAGACTGCGGTTTGCTGACCCTTCATAAATGACTTAATGTATTATAAACCTTCCATGGGTATCTTTCTATCTATGAATGAACAAAAGGACATTAGCGTGAGTACATCGGCCCTGAGAAATGTAATAGAAATTACAACTTGTTCCGGATAATTATTTTCTGTAAGTTTGGTCCTTTACCAAATAGACTTTCATATTTTTCAAAAAGATTTGTTTTTAATACTGTGTGTGGGTGTGTGAGTAGTTGCCTGTAGAAGCCAGACGATAAAATTCTCTGGATCTGACGATTCAGAAGGTTGAGTTGCCTGATGTGGGTGCTAGGAGCCAAACTTGTGTCCTCTGTAAGAGAAGCAAGTGCTCTTAGTTATTGAGTTATTTCTCCATCCCCACTTTTTTACATTTTTATAAATTACATGAACTTATATGATTTAAAGTGTCAGTAGTGAAAGACAAAAGTATGACCCTGTGTTTTGTCTTCCTAACCACTAGATTTGTCTTTGCTGAAGGGGCAGTATTGCTAGTTCTTACGTTTCCTTCCTGGAATGTCATAAGCACATACACGCACCTCTCTGCCCTGTGACAATGGCTGGTTAAACTAAAATGACTTTGTTAAACTTGCTTTTTAATTTTACAGTTCGGAGATGATTTCATTTTGGGTCATCAATCCCTCCAGCTTTCTTTTTATGATAAACTATAGTATTTTTAACATATTTATTCCGTAAAACTTTAAGTCGCTCTCTATTGGCTTCCAGGCAGATATATAGACTTTAGAGAGGGTGATGACATTCTACATATCTGTCAATATCTCCATTAGGTACTTTCCCAGAGTCAGAATTGCTGCCAGAAGGCTCAATTCTGTGTAGATAGCATGAAATTGCTACTGATTGTCCAGACTTTTCATTTCCAGTGGTCCATGCCCGAGTCTGCCTTCGCAGGGCCTTCCAGCACAGAGTCAGCAAGCTCTTTGGTCTTCACCAGTCTAACGGGAAATGTATCTTTTGTGGTTCTGGTGGGCAAGGCTGACTGTCTCTTCAAGCCTGATAAAGCTATAAATCATTAGATTTTGTTTTATGACTTGATTATAACCTTTGTGAATTTTTCACCTTTCATCTGTCCTTTTTGAATTTTTGTTTATGTTTCTATGTTTATGAATCTATGTTTGATAAGAGCTATCTTTGGGATAATTGGGATAGGACCCAGGGCCCTACTTGTGCTTGCTTAGCCACTGAGTCATATCCCCAGCCCTAAGAACTCTTTAAAAATAGTAACTGTTTACATTTTGACTAATTGTTTACCTTTGGTGATTATGTAATTCTGCTGCCATTTTCTATTGCAGCACCAATCCTTTCCATATAACAAAAATGGATTCAAAGTCGGAATGAAACTAGAAGGTGTGGACCCGGAGCATCAGTCTGTGTACTGTGTCCTCACCGTGGCTGAGGTGAGCTTTGTTTTGTATTTGCTTGGAAAATAAAATGATAACTGCAGGGCCTTAATGATGAAAAAGAAATGTCCTTGATTGAATGTTTACATCATGTGAAGCAGGATGTTTAGTGTTTTTTATGTATGTTATCTCTCCTGATCATCATGAAATAATGTCTTATGAAACCCATTTTTTTTCATCCCTGTTTCATAGGAAGGGACATGAGGCCAGAGAGGTCAAGTAGTCAATATGAAATTACACAATTGCAAGGTGATAGATCTAGAATTTGAAACAATGTCCATCTGATTCCATAGACTTTGCCATACTATATGTTTCTTGAGAAAAGAACCTAAGCAACATGTACACACACACACACTTGCGCACACACACATACACACATCCATTATATTACTGAGAGTACTTTTTAAATTTGTTTTTCCCTTATGGTAGCCTCCTTACTTCTTCCATTTTTTGAGAAAAGAACCCAAGCAACACATACACACATGCGTGCACACGCACCACACGTCCATTATTACTGAGAGTACTTTTTTAAATTTGTTTTTCCTCCTGTGGTAGCCTCCTTACTTCTTTCATTGAAATAGGGTTATGGGTCTTTCAAAACCTTCTCTCTCCAAAGGAGTAAGGTGCAGGCACTAGCTCTGGTTATTGTAGGGCTGTGTCGGTGACTGGATTGTAAGAAGCTTGTATCCTGCAGAACAGAGACAGCGCAATGTGGTGGTCACAGTAGTATAGTTGCCTCGAGCACTCTGTGTGTCCTGTGCTGTCTTGTAGATGGGGTTTTGGGAAGGAGCAGTACCAATGCCAGCTGCTGTTGGTGAAGATAAGGCCATGGTGTCCTGGACCTGGGTGTTTAAGGGAAATATCTGGAGAAAGGCTTGAGTTTGAAGATTCAGAAAGTCTAGATTAAAGCAATCTAGATATATCTGTGAAAGAAAGGACCTTGGGAGAGTGGGGGTGGATTTTAATGACTGTGTTTTCTTCTTTGTGGTATTGAAGATGGAAGCCAGAGGTTCACATTGCTAAGCAACCGGTCTATCACCAAGCTATATGCTGAGCCCTTGACTCTTGTTTTTGAAGGTTTATAAGAGCTGTTTGCTCTTTGTAAAAAACTTCAGAGTACAGTAGTACTGATTGCTGTCCCATTTGCCTCTTGCCAAATCCCAGAAAGCATCACCCTTACTACTTGCTTCTGGTAGATGCCTTCTCTGCACATCAGATTGTATATCTCAGTTTTCCTCCTTTACATGTAAATGTTACATTGTCATATTCTGCCTTCTGTGTCTGTGACACATATACACATTTACTTTTCACCATCAGGTCTTTTTGAAAGGGTATTGCAATGAAAGGGTGTCTTCGTGACTGTGGCCAAGGAATGCCACAAAAATCATACCATGCCATGGACCTTGTGCAAGAGATTTATTAGGAAGTTGGGGATGCAAAATAGCTACCTCTGAGTAAGATGAAAAACAAATTAGAGCAAACCAGGCTCTAATGCTGGGCCTTGTGGAGTGTGTTGGGGGAAGCATAGAGCATGCGCATAGGGACAATACAAAGATACTGGTGGTTGGCCATTAGTGATGACTGTCAGGAGTTGATGCTGGTTGAAGGTGAGGAGGAACCTGGTTTTGGAAAGTGGGCTACTCTTAGTTGACTAACTCTTGTCCCACAGAATTGCTTTTGCTCATTTCAACTGCTTGCGTATTGATATCAGTTGAATGGGCAGGAGGATGGTGAAATTGAAGTTAGACTGCATAGTGGAACCTGTCCCCATCCCCCAACATTACCAAGTATCTCTGCTTATTAGCCCTGGAACTCCTGAATGAGAACCGTTAAGGATACACTGTCTGTCATGCTCTTTGCTGTGTGTGTGACAGGGCAAAGCAATATGGAGCCTCCTCCGTCTCCTTCATTTTGCTGAGCTGAGGTCATTTTAGGTTTGACTGGCTTGCCTTGAGTTTACCAGTTCTTTAATCTTCCTAAAAATGAGTGAGAATTTGTTGACCAAAGACTGATTAAGGCTTTTGTTTTTATTTTAATCTACCCCCTGCCCTGAGAGGGCGAAAGAGCAGGTGGAGTCCTGTTACCTGAGGGCTTTGGGGCTTTACTCCTGGAACAGTGCTTGCAGGGGAAGAAGGGGTAAAGGAAGGATGGGGGTCCTGAGCACAGCAGGCCTGCCTGTTAGAAGCAGATGGGTTAATTTCCTTGACACAGGTGTTGAAGAATTGTCAAAGAAATGGAGATGACTGTGTTGCTGGAAAGGCAGAAAAGATTTGCATGAATAATGAGGAAGGAAGCTAGGCAATCCTTAGTGGAAACAGCCCAGCATTCCATCAGAGCTGATTTCTTTTGTCATCAGTCTTCCTGTGCAGAATCTAGCCTCACACATTCTCCTGCCTCAGTTTCCTCTGTGTTGGGATTACCACCGGGTAGTTGATTCTTGTGACTCTCTTGGTCATCACATCCCTCAGATTACCTCCTGGGAAACCATTGCTCCTACAGGAAATGTAAACAGGAAGTGTAGGCTTAGATTCCTACCTCCTCTAGTGACAGTACTTTGGTCAGGACACATACTTGTTTTTGCTTGATGATTCCTTGTTTACTATATTATTGTTTTGTTAAAACTGAGCTCTCATTCATCAGCAAAGCACCACATAAGGCTTGAATAAGGGTCCCATTACACACCTTTTCTCTGTTAGGTTGACATAGGGTTCTGGGCACTCAGAGGTTAATGAGTGAAATCACCAACAGAAAGGCTGGGGATGTGAAAAACAGACACTCTGTGGGGTACTTATTCACAGGAGGAAGGTCCCTAGGAGAAGGCCCTGTCAGTCCCTGCTGGGAACCTGGATCTTGTTTGACTCATATTGCTGCCATTCAGTATTCACCTCTCTACTGGCACCAAGTATGTTATTTTCGGTTAGAAATAAGTTTTAACAAGCAAGTGAATTCATAGGTACAGAGGTTATGAATAATGAAAATTGCCTTATTTTTTGCTTCCCAGAAACATTCACCCTAGGAATCTTGGGAAGAGGTGGGCTAGGAATTGGAAAGATGAAGGCTTTCTAGGGTTAGACCTTTCACGTAAGAGCTGAAAGGAATGGCAGTTCCTGGTGGGAACCAGTTCCATAGGAGCATGTGTCTGACACAAGAAAGAAAGGATATGGAAGTCCTCAGAATGGAGAAGAGGTATCTGTCAATCAACTGGGGCTCAGGGTCTTAATGAGAGGGGACAGACTAGAAGTATAGAACTGAGGATGACCACGGTGAGAGACAGCGTAACCCTGTGGCCCAAGCCTTGGAGGAACAGAGTAAGGGAGCCAGCTATGGAAAACGTAAAGCCTCAAGGCAAGGCAGAGCTGGACAGCTGTCTCTAGGCAGTGAGGCTGACAATGTAGGAGGTTGTTCACCAAAGCACAGCACTGCAGAGGACAAGAGAGTCAGGACGAGCTCAGAGTGCTGTGACCACAAGGGACTGGGGTAAATGATTTAAGGCTTCACTTGTAGAAGGGGAGCAGAGACAGCTTCCTGCAAGGCAGGGTAGACAAGAGGACCCTGAGCTCCTCTGGGCGTGAGGTGGTGAAGGTGAACCCTCAACCTTCCCAAGAGATTGAATTCCCCAGGGACCCCAGTGTCACCTGGGACTCTAGATTCTGGAAGGAGTGAGTTTAATTGTAAATTTTTTAATGCTAAATATTGATGCTTTTTAACTAAAATATAACATATAAACTTATAAAACATATAAACATATAAACTTATAAAACATGCTCTCTGCCCCCCCTTTTTAGTTTTTTTTTTTTATTTTGTTTTTTGAGATAGGGTTTTTCTGTGTAGCCTTGGCTGTCTTAGAACTCTTTCTGTAGACCAGGCTTGCCTCAAACTCAAAGAGAATCTGCCTGCTTGAATGCTGGGATTAAAGGCGTGCACGTCCACACCCGGCTCCTTTCTTTTTATTTCCACTTCCCAGAAGAAATAGTTGTCAATATTTTGTCGTGCATGTATGTACATGTAAATATGTCCATACATTTGTAGAAGGAGATACACAGCATATATGTAAGTGCACACATAGTTTTCTCACAGACAGACTCACCTTGTATAATTTGCTCTACCATTTGAATTTTAATGGACTCTTTTAGAGGCCTTTCCATGACAGTAACTACAGTTTCCTCACTTTGGGTGCTCCCTAGTGCTGGCTCTGCACTCAGCCTCCTGTGGGATCCTCACATTTGTGTGGCAAACACCTTCCTGACAAGGCCATCTCCTTAACCCCACTAAGGATATGTCATGCCTGATACCCACGTTCATTTAGAATGTGTGTGTGTGTGTGTGTGTGTGTGTGTGTGTGTGTGTGTGTGTGACTGAGTATGAACTTACTCAACATGCTGATCTATTTCAGGTTTGTGGATATCGGATAAAGCTTCACTTTGATGGATATTCTGACTGCTATGACTTCTGGGTAAATGCGGACGCTCTGGACATCCACCCTGTAGGATGGTGTGAGAAAACTGGCCACAAGCTCCAGCCTCCAAAAGGTACTGCTGCTTGTTGTTTCATGCTTGAAATTCAGTGAAATCTTCCTTTCTCAGGCACTAACTTGGAATTTTTAGATATTAGTCTTCATGACAATTTAAGTCAAGCTTATTCACAATGTAAAACATGTTTATTAAAGTTAAAAAAATAAAATCTAATTTAAGAGAATGAATTATTTCCATGCACTTATTTGCATAGAGATTAAAACCCGAATAGTAATTCTCTTCTATAGACAATTGTTATATACAGATCTGTTTTATCTGTGCATGTGTGTGAGTACATACACATATATACACATTGCTTTGAATAAAACTATTTGAGACATTAATTTTACTGCTAGTTCATTATATAAGAAAGTTTTGAGAAGCCAGATGTGATGCACACACCCATAATCCTCATGTTAAGGAGGCCATGGTAGGATCATGGGTTAGAAGGCAGTTTGGCCTTTACAGTGAGTTCAGAGCCAAGATGAATTACAGTAGGTAGATCTTACCTCTGAGAGAGAGAAAGACAGAGAGAGAGAGAAAGAGAGAGAGAGAAAATGAGTAATTGAGGAATTATATCTTGAACCCACCAGTTTTGATATGTTAGAGATCGTAGGGGAAAATATAGCACTAAAAGCTGCCACGGATAGATGTTGGGCTAACAAAAATTACTTGTTAGTGCTAGGGACCAAACGTAGGGTCTCATTCATGGTAAGGAAGTGCTTTACATTGATATAGGGCCCTAGGCAATGGGGTGCTTTGCTTTTGATTTGTTTATTGAGACTTGAAGCCTTGTCTCCAAGGGAACTCTTTCCTGTCTCCTGAGTGCCGACTTAGGCTTGCATGGCTGTACCTGGTAGAATCCTTTATATTATAGTCTGCCAGGGTTTGTTGTTTTTTTTTAACCTGTTTTATGATTAGAAAAACAGACATTATCACTTTTAGTCCACCCCCCTATATATTTAGTAGTATATCCTTCTTTTCAACTTTTTGGGGGTTGTCAAAAATTCAGCCAACAGTTTGGTACTTTTGCCTCCTCTCTCCACTATGCTGGGGATGGAACTCAGGGGCCCTGCACATGCCAGGCAAGAGCTCCACCACTGAGTTACATTCCAGCCCCAAAGATGTGATCTTATAGTAGGCTACCTTTGAAATGGATTAATAAAAAATGCTGCATGTCCCGAGGCGCGATAGAAATGCTGCAGGTCACAAGTGACAGCAGTGGGCCATGTGGCGACAGGCAGTGGGCAGCGGTTCCCGAGAGCAGCCAGTCCCAGGAAGGGATGGCGCAGTTCCCCTAGAGGCTGCAACAGGCCACGAGGAGAGACAGAAGGATGGGCATGCCAGGAGACCTCATGGCAGGTCTCGGAAGGCGGCTGGTCCTGGGTAGGGAGAGAGACGAGTGAGAGACAGAGACATATATAGGCACACCATGCAGAGTGAGGTTGGACATTTATTTAGTGGGTTATGAAAGGGAAGGGGAGAAGGCACAGTGTAAAACCTGCCAGTTTCAAAATGGATTTGCTTCCTTATGCCTTTTCTGTACATCATTACCACACCCATTTAGAATTTAAAAACAATAGCATAGTTTGTTGAAGCTAAATACAACCTGGATCTAAAAATACACAGTTATAGATTGTGGGCTAAGTATTTATTGAAAAACATCCTTTGGTTGCGTGATTTGAACATGTTCCAGCTACAGGCGGAGTAGGACGGGGAATTAGCTGGTGATGCTCTGTGTGTTTCCTAAGTCTGTCCACGTGTGCTTTCCCCTTAGGGTATAAAGAAGAAGAATTTAATTGGCAGTCCTACCTGAAGACCTGCAAAGCCCAGGCTGCTCCCAAGTCATTATTTGAAAATCAGAACATAGTAAGTGTATCCAAAGTACTTTTCCTTTCAGGAGGAGGGATTCTATTTTTAGGGTCTCATAGGATAAATCACAGTGACAACAAGGAACTATAATCAATTTTATTGCCTCGGTAAGTAGAATTCTCGTATCTTAATTAAACTTTAAAATTAGCTTCAATTCTTCATGAGTAAATATCTATTTTATAGCCATATTATGGTTGTCTTATTGAATGGTATGCCAACATAATATGAAATCCAGGTGTGACTTACAATTAAGATACATAAAAATTAAATCGACTGGAATATTATACTGTTACCATTATTTGGCTAGGAGCGCAGTTCAGATGGGAGTCACACCGTGTGATGGATACAGCCTTGTTAGAGTGTGCAGGCGGGAGGTCACCAGGGACTCCACCATGCCTTTATTGCAGCTCATAGCTTTGTTGGCCGCAGTTTGTGTAGCAAGAGCAAAGGCAGATGTATATGCATTTTCTGCGTCTTTGCTGTCTTTCTGTTTTTATCCTGTGTTCCTCCCACGGCATATCTGAGACAGCCTTATGCATTACACTTTTCCTTCCCCAGGATGTGACCTAATTAGGACAGGGGCAAACAAAGTGTCATCCTTATAGCTGACACGGACTAGATAGGAGGACATAACGCAGCCTTTCCCTGCAGACAAATGAGCCTCTTGATGCCGAGCCCTGGAATCAAAGTTGCTTTTTCTTATCCCCCGTCACCCCTGCAACACCAGGGAGCCCTGGACCCTCAGCAGAGTAGAACGCGTGCCTGGCTCTCTTAATAGCACAAGCATCCTCGTCTCCTAGATTCATCCTTTAGGCAGCAGGGAATGGAAGGATAGGGGCAGCAGCATCACTATCAGAGCTCCCTCCACGTGGAACAAGCATCAGCAATGGGGAAAACTTTCTATCCATCCAGTGTTATCAGGCATCTGGTTTGCAGGTACAAATCTAATGGAAGAAATGCTCTCTGATTAAACCGAACGTAAACCAGTTTGAAAGAAGAGTGAAAAGAGAGAGAGACAACATGGTCAGTCTCTTTTATTATCTCTTAATTGGGCAGCCAGCTTAATCACCGGAATGTAAATACTGCCTTGTCAGTATCTATTCTCTGACAAGACATTTCCCTGGAGGAAGGTCAGTTTGCTGGACACTCAGCAGCCTGCTGTGTCTGCCCCATGGCTGCTTCCCTGGTGATAACTTACATCACAGTGTGATTGACTGCCGTGAACCATCGCTGCATTCTGGTCATGGTTAGCATACACCCTAATCTTAGGCCATGGGTTGGTATTTGAGAGGCAATTAAGTTTTCTATTTCTAGAGAATAGTCAGATATTTATGGCCATAAGTGATATATAATTTCAGGGTTCAAATATATGGTAAGTTTTCTATGTATTATTTGCACTCTTTAATTCGCTCAGGACTTGCAACATTTTCAGATATACTTGCTTATATTTTTGTGACTGTAGCTAGATAATTTTACTTTTACGTAAAGTAAAAGGTAGCATTTGTTTACTTAAAGCATTAGACTAGTGATCATATGCTTCATTTGGAAACAAAGGGTTTTTATCAGAGGATAGAAATGGTGTGCATTATTTTATAGCTAACGTAATGAATATTCAAGTAAAGTATCCTACTCTGAGATTAGAATATTTTCCACAAAAAAAAAATGGTGAGGGTTCTTTACACATCACTGTCCTTCAAGCACTAACTTAGTGAACCTCTATTGTTTTCCTTGTAAATCCCAGACGACTGATAGTCTATGGATTACCTTAAAATACGTCATAGTCCTAATGACAGCATGAATTAACAGCCAGCTCCTATGCTGCCGCTATGAATAAGAACTGTCTGTAGTGGCAACCTGAAGTAGTCAGAGCTTGAAGCTTTTCCTAAGCGAAGGTGACCTACTTTCCACACAGTGCTTGAGGGATCTGCTCAGAGGTGGGAGTGAATTTGTACGACTCCACATTTTTAACACCATCTAGTGCATCTTTTGTGGGAAATAATTTTCATTGTCCAATCTGTAATCAAGGAAAAAAAAAAAAAAGAAAGGCCAGACTATCAGCTGCGTGGTGAGTGAAACTTGCCTGCCTTGCATACATCTCCTAACTAAGGTGTTAAGACACACACTGAAATGAATTACTTTAAACTCTGCCAGGTTGCCGACGACGCTTTCGTTCTGAGGCTCAGATAGTTAATTGAAAGTACGGTAGAGCTTCGATGTTTATTGTTGCCGGTGGAAAGCACCCCCACTGTGAGGCTGGCCTAGCATTTCATATTAGGTGAAGATGCTTGTCCTTGAAGCAGGGGCACAGAGTATGTAGATCTCACTGCTGTGAAGTGTGCTTGTCTCTAATTAAATCTGTGTGTTTCCATAGACAGCGATCCCGTCAGGCTTTCGGGTTGGAATGAAGCTCGAGGCTGTAGACAAAAAGAACCCTTCCTTCATCTGTGTTGCTACGGTAACAGATATGGTGGACAATCGCTTCCTGGTACATTTTGACAACTGGGATGAGAGCTATGACTATTGGTGAGACAGTTTCCCCTAATGTGTGCTGTTGAGAATTTAATGCTTAGCTAGGGAAAGGGAGTTCACAGTTCAAAATAAGGAACAATGTGAAGTGTGTAACAAAACAAAACAAAAAATCTCTACACGTGATGGTGATGCCCTCCTACTCTTGAGTGGTGAGGCAGAAGGATCAGAAGGTCAAGGTTTTGAGACCTAGGGTGTTTTGAGACCAGCCGGAATTACACGAAAGCTAAAAAATAAAATTGACGGGACCGAAAGAAATGGCTCAGTGGTTAAGGGCACAGGTTGCTCTTCCAAATGACCTGGGCGGGTTAGCAGCACCCACGTGGCAGGTCATGACCCCCTTTAACTCTGGTTCTAGGGGATCCAATGCCCTCTTCTGGCAATGGTGGGCACTGGTATACAGATATACATGCAGGCAAAATACCTACCCATACCCAGAAAAAGAAAAGCCAAAAACAAATGTTTAGAAGTTCTGGTCCACTTTTTCCTGTTTCAGATTTTTAAGGTTTTGCTTGTCCATGTATTTCTAATTAATATCTTTTCAGATGACTCAGGATTTGTGTTTGACTTGACTTTGTAATATGAAATTGAAATTTGCATCCCCATGTTCCCAACATAGACCTGCGTGTGGCAACTTAGACCTACATATACATACAAACACAGACTCACTTTCCTTCTCCTCTTGAGTGTCTGGTGTAACTTTTTAGTAATTTTATTTTAATCATGATCAGCTAATTGAACCATTCAGATAGTTGAATACCAATGGAATATTATTTTTAATCCCTGCATTTTTAGATATACTATATACAATAATAAGAACATCATACTATGAAATTATGCCATTATAAAATCATCGTACTAGAGCATTTGACTTTTATATGCATATATATGATGCTAGGGATGAAACCTAGATTCCTACATCTGCTAGGCCAGTGTCCTCCCTCTGGATATAGCCTCAGCCTAAGCCGTTGCATCTTATTACACAGCTGATGACTAGAATTGGATTTCCTGGTGAAGATCATCTGTAAAGTATTTCTGTCTTAAGAACATGTGAGATACGAGTATTGTAGAGATATGTCAGGTGTGATATGGCTCTTACCAAGGGAACATTAATTTATGTAAATGTTCCATAGTTTTTTCTCTTCAAAAGTTTATTGCATAGATTTCCATTTATTGAGGGCAGTGCATATGGAGGTCACAGGAATCATCCTCTCCGTCCACTGTGTGAGTCCCAGGGGTTGAGCCCAGCTTGTCAGGGTTAGTGACAAGTGCATTTACCCATTATAACTCACCTTAATATGTGTATCAGTAGATCAGTCAATAATTCTCATTACTCTTCAAACTGTATTTTTAGGTATCAGTTTTAGCTGAATCGTTTAAGAAGGAGAATCTTTGGATATATTTTTAATTGTTCGGTATATGTGTGTGCATTCATTGAGAGGCTAGACGTTAAAGTCGGTGTCTTTCTATTTCACTTCATTGTGTTTTCTGAAGTGGAGTCTTCCACTGGATTTTTCAGCCTGCTAATACAGTTAGTCTAGCTACCTCTCTTGCCCAAGGGATTCCCCGTCTGTCTTCTGAGTGCTGGGTTCACTGGCTGGCCGCCACACCCACCTAACTTTCTGTCTGTGCTGGGGTTCCTAACTCTGGCCTTCAGGGTTGTGCAGACAATGCTTTATCCCAGGAAACATCTCTCTAGCCCCTACAAAAGACTGCCATGCATCCTCTTTATTCAACTTAGATAAAATGAATTAATGTTTATTTGTATGACCACATAAGTATCACAGTGATTTTGTTGTTGCTGATGTTATTGTCATTTTTAATTTTTTCATTTGTTTGTTTGTTTGTTACTTTTTGACAAGGTCACTTTGTATAGGCCTGGCTATCCCAAAACCTGCTGTGTAGACCAGGCTGGTCTCAAACTCACAGTTAATCAAACTGCCTCTGTCTCCCAGTGCTGGATTAAAGGTTTAGAAACCATGTCCAGCTCATCACGGTGTTTCATAATTACTTCTTTGGATTTCTGGAATAAAGCAATGACAATGGGAAGCTTTGGCACAGGCACTTTCTCTAATGTCAGGTTCCTTAATGAACTATCAAAAAGGACCCTGGTTTCTTCTGAGAAAGAGCAAAGGGGAAATCTGATCTCTTAGAGCTGATTTTGCACTTTTAAAAGCATAAACTAATGTCCTTATTTTTACACTGTTGTGTCCTTTGAGGATTATTTATATTTCTATTGACATGAAACCATATCTCGTTAATTGTCAGAAAAAAAAAAGTGTGCTCCCTTCCTCAGGGTGCAGCAAAGGCACATTAAAAATTGCCTAAGTGCCCTGGATTCTCTCCAGTTCTCTAGTCTTTGAAATTTTGTTTCTGCATAAATTACTTTGGTGTGTAATTGAGGATACAGATTTCCTTTCTTTTTTCAATTCAAAGTAGTTTTGAAACCAGAGTGTTTACCCCCCACCCCCCCCACACACACCCTTAGGATAGAGATACTGTATCCCATTTAACACAAAGAGAATGGGAAGCATGCATCTGTCTGTCAACATCCAGGTGCTACATGTTCAGTTGTGATAAAGTTTTCTTCCTTCTAAAGAGGAACATGATAAGAAAGGAAAAATAATTTATGTTCAAAATAAAATACCTTTACCTCTGGGTTTCTTGATGGCTGTTAGGGTTAGAAATAACCTGAAATATCACAAGATATTGAAACTACAAACTGTTTTGAAGCTGCAGGAAGGAAAGTGAGGGCTGTTCCGGGGATCCCACCAGCGATAAACACTGAGACACATCTAGCCCATCGACAGTCTTTATTCCCGCCGGTTGGGAGTACATACAGGACCCTAGTGTATCACTGAGTGTTTAGGGTGAGGGGTTTTTAAAGGCAAAAAAAGGCTACTTTCTGGTAGCTTGCTCCACAGCTGCAGGGGAGGTTTTTAACTTAGCTTAGTTTAACAGAAGCTAAGCTAAGTGATTAGCTGGAGGGGAGGGGAGGCTTGCACAAGCAGGTGGTTTAACAAGCTAAGTTGAAGGGCATCTTTTCCTCAGGTTCTTAGAATAGAGCTGGGTAATTTTCCACGGAATTCTCCATCAAGGAGATCAAATTCTAGTTAAGACTGAAATGACTTCAGCAAGAATACAAGATACGAGGGCTGGAGAGATGGCTCAGAGGTTAAGAACACTGACTGCTCTTCCAGAGGTCCTGAGTTCAATTCCCAGCAACCACATGGTGACTCACAACCATCTGTAATGAGATCTGGTGCCCTCTTCTGGTCTGTAGCATATATGTAAGGAATACGCTGTATACATAATTAATAAATAATTTTTAAAAAAAAGAATACAAGATACGGGAACCTCTGCATTGTATTGCCATGCATGTCACAAGGACCTTAGAAGTCATGTACCTCACCCCCTTTTGCAAACAACGCCTCTTTTCCCTCTTACCTTCCTGCTGTCTGATATTGGGCTCCAGGGGCAGAAACCTATCATGAGAACAGTCACTTCTTATTTCTTCTCAGATGCTGGGAAATATTCTTCCTTGTAAGAAATAGTATTTCCTTGTGACCTTGTCTTTGGGGATTCTGGACAGCGTGACAACAAGACTTAGCATGTTCAGCACAAATCCCTGGGTGGCTAGAACTGCGGCTTCAGCCTCTTTGATTTTATTCCGATGAGGCATCTCAGTGAGGAAGGGAAGAAGTCAGCAAGGAACAGATCTGTGCAGGGAAAGAAGTATCAAAATAGGGATTCACAGAGTCCCAATCTTTCCCCAGGTGCTCCTAAGTAAACTGCAGACTTTTTAAAGTGAATTTCCTCTTTTATTTCTAGATATATTGAGACTGTATTTATAAAAATGTTTTATATATATATATATATATATATATATATATATATTGATGTTTAGGTTGTTCATCTTTTGCTTTTTTGTTGTTGTTTTCCTTTTTTATTCATTTTTTTATTGAGCTCTACATTTTTCTCTGCTCCCCTCCCTGTCTCTCTCCCCCCCTTCAGCCCTCTTCCAAGGTCCCCATGCTCCCAATTTACTTAGGAGATCCTGTCTTTTTCTACTCCCCATGTAGATTAGGTCTATGTATGTCTCTCACTGTTGTCTAGGTTCTCTAGGATTATGATTTATAGGCTGGCTTTCTTTGCTTTATGTTTTAAAACCACTTATGAGTGAGTACATATGATAATTGTCTTTCTGTGTCTGGGTTACCTCACTCAAAATGATGTTTTCTAGCCCCATCCATTTGCCTAAACTGCAGACTTTTTAAAAGGTAGATTTCTTTTGTGTTTATGAATGAGAATAATAATAATTTTGTTTCTCCCTAATGGAATTCTGATGTACTTGTAACATGGGTCTTAGAGTGATATCAAAAGTGATTTCACTACTGAGTTTAGTTGGCGGTGCACTGGATGTCAGTGGTGACAGAAAAACATTGAGTGCATGAGACTTAGACAGTCACAAACTTCAGCTCTGGGGGCCCGTGTTCTCCCGTAGGAAAGAAGCATGCCCCCCAGTCATTGGTGGTTAGTGTTTAATTGGTAGAACCAACTGTTATTGTCTTCTGTGACATGTGGCATAAAGGGTTGACTCTACCTCACTGGAGGGCTCATGGGGAAAGACCTCTCAGAAGACATAAGCTTGGAGTTACACCACGAAATAAGGCAATTGGCACATGGAAAAATAGAGGATCACCGGTCAAAGAGAGAATGCCTGTGTTTGGGCTAAGGGTAGGGTGTGTAAAAGTTGGCAGCCTGCTTATGTAGTAGGTTGCTTAACTGAAGCTCTAGTTGTCCTTGCAGAGGGGTCAGGTAATGCCTACCTCATCACGTGCTGCAAGGATTCAAATAAGAGTTTTAGGGGCAAAACCCAGTTTGCAAATGGTTGAGGAGGTGGCTGAAGAGACCATTGGTAGAAAAACTGCTAAAAGCAAAGGATATTTGCTTGGAGAGTGGCAAGGCCATCTTCTGAGTTGGGGTTCCTGCACCTA